TGCACAGCTGCAATGGTTGGATATTTAGAATCACATTCCCAGTCTTTTCACCCAATGGACAAAGTAGTAAAAAAGAATCATAACCATCAGATAAATGTATCACTTTCTTTCGTGCTGCCCCATCATCTGGTGTTGATCTGTGTTACTGATATTAAGTTTTATGTATATAAGATGTACATTAAGGATTTACTTCATTTTACTAGCTTCGAAGAGTGTAAGACTAGATTTAAAGCAATTCACTTCTGATTTTATGATGATTGTAAATACGGGGGGTAACTGATGGTGTGGGCGTCTCAGTTTTTTTTAATATGCTAACATTGATCATGTATGTATAGTATTTGTATTTTTATACTGTAAACCTTTGTATGTGTCACACTGTATGTAATGTTTTCTGTATTTTTGTCAATAAAGTGTTTAAAAAAAAAATCACCTGGTGTTGATCGGGGACTCAAACGCTCACCGCACCAATAACTCCCCATCCCCGGAGCCAGGTGCGATTGTCTCTGCATGTCTCCAAGCTAAGCGAAGGCTGACAATAGCAGTATTAACATCAAGGACAGACAACAAGCGGGGAAAATCCTGACTGTACTTTACAGTCTTAGCCGTGGCGCAGAAGACAAGGCCAGTCGTCGGTAGCATTTGCAGAAAGTTCAATACAACATTGATCATCCAAAGCTCCAATATGTATCATGTGGAATGTTGCTGGCATTCGTTGAACGATCTTAATTTTTATGTAAAATGTTGCCTTTGTCTTGTATATATTGTTACATTTGTACATATGTACCCCGGGCCACTCTGAAAACTGTGCCACTATGGTAAAACATCAGAAAATATCAGAAAAAAATATTGGTTTTCATAATCGATTGCTTGTACTGACTGCATTTTGCATTGTTAAACGTGGCACACGCAAGACAAGGCCGGCCAGTCGTCAACCGGATTGCTAGTTCATCTGGGACCTCGTTAGTAAGACTTTCAACGGCGCCTACAATCGGGTGGTTCCATTAAAAGAGACCCATTTACCACTGCGGACCTGTACTTTACTGCAAATCACGGTTAGAACGTCTGCATGTTCATAAGAATTCGCAGGTCAGGGCATTGATTGTGGGCACCAAAAAGAAAACGACTCACTTTCGAACAAATACAACGGCCCTATGTATCGTTCCTTCAGTTACTGAACAACAGTTAATATGAGAAGCGACGATACCACGAAGACACCCTATCAGACCGATATTTTCCATGTGGTGATATCTGATCTAACTCCTAAGTCTACCTACATAGCTCAGCCTCCTTGCAGATGTACTGCATTACAAAACGAGACGAAATCATCCATACAAGATTATATTGCAACTCATAATCATATAATCCTATCAGCAAATGTAGGATAGAGTATAGTGTTATTTGCTAACAGTTGTTGCCATACATTGTACCATGCACGGTAGTCGAGAAATATAGTTTAGTCATTCATTATTCATTCACCCTAAAGTAGATACAAAACGTACCTACAATACATCATTCTTTAGTATGACCTAGAAGTGCTTTATGCAATTTCAAACCGTTTCATATATCCTTTTTACGTAATGCATTTCTAATGGCACTACTCAATGCATCACGAACGGCCTTTCAACGGTAATGCCTCTAAAGAAGCTAAGCACATCGCTGGACTCCACCCGGATATGACTATAGCTGCCAAAAGAAATTGTTGAAACGATTTATTTTACATTTACACAAACCTCTCGCAAAAGAAACTGGAAAGACCTAGCACGTCGAGAGCAGACATGTTTGAGACCGATGTTAACGGGTACCTGTCCAGTGTAGCTGCTAATGCATCCATCTACTCTCTTTGCAAAGGGTTATGCAACATCGGTCAGTGTTCCTGGGACTTTAAGAATACTACCACTTTGTTACAATACCACTTTAACTTAGAGGTTCTGATTCCACAAATTGGGCAAGTTGAACAAGTTACTATCCGATTATCTTATGTTCCCACACCCACCTATGCCAAGTTTTTAGGATCTTATTGAATATTCTAACAGACCACAAGAAGTTCCAACTTTCCGGCAGCGCACACCATTTGTATCCCTATCTCAGCAATCGACATTGCTACTTGTACAATGTATCAAAAGTTACTTTAATGTATCACACGTTCACACAATATATCAACGTTGCTACACTGTATCAAGTTCTTGCAGATTGTTCCCTAGGATAGAGAAAGTTCTTCCAAACATTACGCAGCTCCTGTTTCTCTTCAGATGGGAAAATAAAACCCTAGCGGTGTACCCACTTCCTTGACCCGTTAGGCCCTATTTTTGTCAAATTCTACCATCCCCTTAGAAAGGCCCAGAGGAGGCTAAACCACGAGTGATTTAAAAGAAATCAGCTGAGACATTAACGTAAATCAGCGTGGCCTTTTCAAGGAGAATCAGTCGATGAAGATTCATGTCTTGGATTCATATCATTTCATTGTAACATTTGCGGGTAAAGTAAACACATCTATTAACATTATCCAGGTACAACAACATGTCATCAAAATGCAAATAATGGTTTCATTAGGGCTACCAGAAGCAGAATAATGAATTTTCTCTGCAAATATTCCAGCACAAATCCACATTAACATTCTTGATTATTCTGAAATCAATGAAAGACTAAATTATAATAATAAATGAAAGACTAATTTTCTAGAAGAATATTATACAACCACCTTCATCCTACTCAATGTAGTATATACGTTTAGACAAAGTATGTATTCATTATTAATGCTAATAAACGTTTGTATCAGCAAATGTCTCTAGCATAAATTTCGGGTAGACTAACAGTACTTTTAATTAAGGCTGACGATGTGGCCCTGAGCAATCCTCGCAGATGTGTGATAACATTTGCTATGTAGGTCTGTGACTTATGGTACCACGTGCAGAAAGTTAAAAACAGCATTCATCATCCAATTGGCAATGCATCTATGTGGATGTTGCTAGCTTTCGTTAACTGTATCTTCAACGACGATCTAAATTCTTTTTGCTGTTGTCTTGTATATATTGTTACATTTTTGTGTATATGTATGTATGTACCCAGGACCACTCTAAAAACTGTGCCTAGTTACTACTGAGAGTGCCACTCTGGTAAAAGACTACAGGAAAAAAATGTGGTTTCAGAATCGATTGCTTGTCAACGCCAGAAAGAAAGAAAAATAATAGTGACACAAAATGTATTACTAAACATATCATAACTCCAACTACACAAACACTTGTGAATAATGGCATCAAGTACAGCTTCAAGTTCAGAACATTTATCAGAGATATATTGTCTTAGCACCAGATCATTCCTCACCCCCGCCCCGTGTATATTGGATTATATACTTGCCCCGTGGGTTTTCTCTTTATTGAATGCCTGCGGGAAGAAGAATGCTGCTGTACGGGAGCGGAAAAGGTTGCCGGCTTGCCGTCAAGCTACCGACGCCGCGGGGACTGCACGGGACAAAATTCTCATCCAAAATCGATGCGAAGTTGGCCAACGGAATGGGAAAGTCAGCGCAAAAGTTCTCACACGATCTTTTTTTATATGTTTAATGATTACTACAGGACCGTTGCAAAATATTTTTACGTGTGTATAGATATGAAATTTATTGAAAGGTTAATACAAACATGAACTGTACGTTTTGCTGAAGTAAAATAGAAAGCCACGGAATGGGAAAGTCAGCGCAAAAGTTCTCACACGATCTTTTTTATATGTTTAATGATTACTACAGGACCGTTGAAAATATTTGTTACCTGAGTATAGATATGAAAATGTATTGAAAGGTTAATACAAATATGAACCAAACGTTTTGATGAAGTCAAATAGAAAGCCGCGGAAGGGGAAAGTCAGCGCAAAAGTTCTCACACGATCTTTTTTATGTTAAATCATTACTACAGGACCATTGGAAATTATTTGTTACCTGAGTATAGATGTCAAAATTTATTGTAAGGTTAAAGCAAATATGAACCGAACGTTTTGCTGACGTGAAATAGAAAACCACGGAATTGGAAAGTCAGTGCAAAAGTTCTCACACGATCTTTTTTATGTTTAATCATTACTACAGGACCGTTGCAAAATATTTGTTACCTGAGTATAGATATGAAAATTTATTGTAAAGTTAAGGTTCGCAAAGTTAACATGAACCGTAAGTTTTGCTGAAGTTACATAGAAAGCCACTAGAAAGCTCATACCAAATATGTTTTCTACACATATGCACACAAACGTCAAACAAAGCTACATAAACTTCTTGGCGAATGACATGTACTGTGGGTATACATTGTTCTACCCATATGCCTAACCTTCATCAATACGGTATAATTATGCCCGTTACTGTCCATATATATATATATATATATATGGAGATCGCTCACTCAGCCTCACTGGAGATCGGGTGAGAAAAACATGCCTTGGTGTCAAGGAACTTGTATGTTGTTACATATTCATTTAAAACAATTTATTTACACAGCGCCAAATTGTCTTATAAGCTTGATCCACTTATAAGTGGATAACGGTGACCACCGTTACCCAGTGGTAACTGATAGCGGTAGATGTATCGGGTGACTACCGGTAGATGTATCCGGTGAGTTACCTAGGGACGGGGATTAACTCCGTCAACCAGGCGTGCGTTTCTCGCAAAGTCCGCTGGATGTCGCTGCTGAATAACACAATGATGATGATCATCTTTGCGTTTACCACAGAACAGCGCACTGTTTCAAACAGTTCAACGCATTACTTAAATCTAGAGCAAAATTATGTTATAGTAACTTATACAGACAATTGGCTATTTTGGTTATGCTAAGCAATTTTCATTCAAAAGCACATTCCGAAATTCTTCATGAATACAAGCCAATATATTACGTAATACTAATAGAACAGGGCTAGTCACTACTACTACGCAGTGAAACCAACACACTGCAGCACATATAATTTGTTTATTAGAGTAATGCGAAAGTATGTAAGACATGAAAAAAAAATAGATTTGGTGTCAACTTGAAGACAAAATAAACTTGAACGAGAACGAATTCTGAACCGAACAAAGCGTATGTAAAGCGTGCACACCACCAGAGGGGCCTCAGTCGTCTGGTACTGTGACGACTGGCACATCCTGCAGCTCCATGGCCGGCTGCACTCGCCTGGACTCGCGGTCCCGGAGCAACCTGGATGAATGGTGATTTTAATAAAATTATGTGATAATTAAGTGTAATAGGTATTAAAACAGTCTATATACCATCTGAATATGGCAATAGAAAGAAGACTTTTTTAGCCACCACTACTGCAATGTGGCCTGTCAGCAAAGCTGTTGTTGCGTTCAATGGTTGTTGCTGTTGACAAACTTAGTAACCAGTCTACTACTACTACTACCACCTCTACCAGTACCACTACTACTTCTACTACTTCTACTACATGTACTACTATTACTACTAATACTACTAATACTACTACTACTAACCGTCCGACGGTGTAGCTCCAGGCTCGTCTCAGCAGTGAGAACAGAACACTGCCCTCCCCCTCCTCGCTCCCCTTATCATCTGCACAAAGGCGGGAAAATCAACCTTTTTAATTTACCTAACGTCATCAACATTCTAAACAAGCTTATGTATATCTCCGTTACGCATGAGCTGGTAGAACTATGAGCTAATTTTCTTTTTTTTAGATTTAGAAGTACCAAATTTTTACGCCTGTAAACTTTCGGCGGCCATGTTCATGATGATGATGCTGTACCTTCCATAGTTGTTCTCCTGCTGGATGAGGTACTGGAGAAAAATGTCTTGAAGCTGAATTGACTGGATTCACTTCCCTGGAGAGGAAGAAGGGGCTAGTATTACAAATATACGAACAAATGCTGAACTTAGTGTTCAAGCTGATGATTTGTACAGTTGACGAACTGAACTGAACTGAACGAACATCATAAATGAGATACCAGAAGCGTCCAGTCCTAACACAGTAAACTAAACTGACGAGTTTCTACATTGGACCAGCTGAATAGCCAGACAACGAAGTGAAGTACTTTGAATAGAAAATATGAGAACGCCAGGACAAAGAACACAGATATCAAAATAGGCACAAACTGACGAGATACATCAGCCAAAATCTGAGATTATAGGATGTCATAATGATTCGGTCGTACTTGATAAGGGATGTTTGGATTCTTGAAAATCCGTATAAACAAACAGTTATTCGGCAATCATCACCTGGGACTGTCTTTCGACTCTCCTTCGACCGGCTATACCTGTATACAAAACAACAGCGTCAAACATAATGATGCCTGAAACTAGCATAATTATATTCATCAAAAAGTGTACACAGGTGTTTTAATGGTACCGTGCACAGCGAAAATTCTGGTTTTGATAGTCCACTGGTCTGGACATGCTAGGGCCACAAATTTTGCACAGGAGGTAGATCTCTTGTGCTCGGAAAGTGACGTAAGGTTGCCTTCCCCCTTGCAGTTTGTTCTGGAACTGCAGAGGGCATTGACATTACATTGGTGACGTGACTGACCTGGAGCGGACCGGAGGAAGTCTGCCATGTCCATCACCTCAGTGGCCGCCTCAAACGACTCTTCAGCCTTAACAGACATCAAAATCAGACAAGAAACCTGAGTAAGAATCCAAACCTCGGAGAAATATCATGCAAAGTGATCACAACGGCTGTTGACAGTTCAGACATCACATTAGATAATTAAAGGAATGAATGAATGAATTTCTTTATTACAGAAAATATAAACCCAAAGACGTACGTACAGACGCACGAACATAAAAATACAAATAAACTTTTATTAAAGCCAGTTACGCTAATGTCGTGACATATTGGAGCCGCATGGGCAAATGTAGCTGTCAAATATATATACCATTCGTCGCGGATGAATTTGGCGATAATGGTGTTTTGATTTACCCAGGATTTGTTCTTGGGGTCGTCCATTTTGGGTTCGTCGATCAGATCGTGTAGAAATTTGGTCCTCTCCTTGCCACTCGGCAACTTGGACAGCTGTTTTGTCAACTTCGCAAGTCTGTGGGTACATGCAAAAAAACTAAATATGGTTTCATTGATGAGGGTTTTTTTTTCTTTACATTCAGGATAATGTATAAATGCGTATCTTAATTTATCAACAAGCGCGCTCCTAATGATCCTACAGGTATTATATTGATATCGGTCATTTTATGTTGAGCGCTGACACCGCTCTACACCAAAAATCTTCTTTTACTTCCCACGTATATCCTTTAAACATAGCAATTTGAGATGGAACGAGGAATGAATGAACCTCTAAATGTTGCCTAAGTCTCAGACAGACAGACGGACGGACGGACGGACGGACGGACTTTCCTCACCTGCGTCGACCCTTGATCGCCGCCAGGGCTGTGGTTGGTTCGGGATACTCCTGCTCTATCAAACTGTGACACGAACCTGTTGAGGATGGAATCGACGTCACTGATTGGCTCTTGGAGAACCAATGAGACAACTCCATTTACCTTATTGCCTTGATATCATCTATATCGTTGAAAGGCCAATACTAAGACCCTTTCTCTTACAATGGGCCTTTAATGCCCCTACCTCTAGCTTTTTTGTTGTTGTTGTTGTGCCACTCCTATTTGATAGGTTCAAAAAGTGACGCAAAATAACAATTTCGGCAAATTTCGGAACCTTTTGGCAAATCTCGGCCGTTTCCGATGTCCACGGTGGTCGGGAAGGGGATGAAAGATGGAGGGCCTATCGGAAGACTCGACAGAAGCTCACTGGAAAATATACAGAAAAAAATAACATCTGAATTAGACGGAGTCCAATTCCCATCACAAAGAATAAAACTTAGCCACAGTTTAAATCGTTTGTGAAGAATCTACTGTTTCTATGTCTAATGACGCCATGTTACGCATTAAATGTAGTTTATAGTTTAGGGCGTCCCCCGTCTCTATTCAGGGATGGTTGTAGGATATCACTTCTTTTATTCTCCTTGGGTAAGTCCAATTCTTTGTGTTGGCCTTGACAGTTGAAGATCGTTCTTCTCAATTGCTTCTAGTAGTAGAATTTTACAACAGGTTAATTTTCAAGCTAAGAAAAAGAACAAATGCTGTTGACGAAGTATATCCGTAAGGTGAGACGGTCCCTACCAGTGGCCATGTTTGCTGATGCGCTGTTCAGGTGGAGACAAGCGACAGAACATGGAGTGGTTCAAAATCTCCTTCACTTCCTGGTCGTACTGTTCCAACTGCAGGTTCGGAAATAGTCGCAAGGAGACGTGTCAAATGCGTATGGTTTTTGTGAAATCATGTCCTTCGGGCATGTCCTTCGGGCATGATTTTGCAAATAAATATTAAAAAAGAAATACATATTAAAGTTTGTTTGAACATTACCTGGTGCGACTGGCCGTACCCAAATATTCCATAAACAAAGCAGATCTCCACTTCGAGTTCACCGACAACCTGCGAGAAGGAATGTGGTACAAAATTAGTACTGGAATATAAATTAAAGAGAAAAAAGAAAAAAAACACTTTAAATGGAGATTGCTTCGTGAAACATATACATGTATAGCAAACATGAATGTGTGGTTTCAATGGCGGCCGCAAATCCTGACTTAACAAAGTCAACAAAAATATACGTCAGATATGAGACTTTCAAGAACGAAAATGGTGGTTTACCTGGTGTTTCCAGAGCAAGTGGACCTCCTCACTCATAAGCATTTTCTGGAACGTAAGAAGGGACACAGACGTTCGCCATGAATCAAATTTCATAAACAGCTAGCCATAAACAGTTATCTAGACTATGTAACGATATAAGCACTGCTCAAAACGCATAAAACACGCCAAAAATAAGCCGAATTCTAAACCTCTACTATTTTTTTTAATCTAACTTTTCGACCTTACTAAGACACAAAGGAAACACGTGAAAGACGGAAAGGGGATATGTCAAGCTACCCACGACAGGTTACTGTCCAAGTGCTCGTTACCTTGACGATATCGAACAGATGCAGGGTTGCCGTGCCAACTGCCGTGGGCTCAGGCTGGGAGCCGTCCCACGAAAACGCCCGGATACACAACTTGTTCTGGGCGTGGTCTCTCTCTCGATGGAGCTGCGAGAAAAAAAAAGGAAGTTAAAGAAAAAACGCCACTCTATTCTCTGTCGATTGGGCTTTGGGAAATATTTGAAGATAAAATTAGCTACCATTTATGATTTTTTTTAATTATTGACATTTACCATGCACATTTTGTGAACAGCTCAGAGACTGGACTGTAAGGTTTGAACCGTACTCTTTTCCAACAATAAGAGCGGTGCTGTCATGTGAGACGTGATTATAAGGAAAGTTGAACAAACAAACCTCTATAGGAAAGTGCTTGAGGTCGTCGAAAACGATGACGTCTTGGTTCTTGCCGTCCGGCATCTTGGCGACCTTGCTGTACTTGGTGGTCTCTCCGACCTTGATGCTGACGTAAACCCCGCTCTTCTTGGGGTTCGGATAGAACACTGGAGAAACGTATGTCAAGGTCATCTCCAGGAGGCGTTCAGTAGTATTTATCTATTTGTTTATTTAGGAAGATTCACCACATTTGTGGAAGGATTGACATAACAGGTGATTATCACCTCTTCAAGATGTCAACCCTGAGACCAGACTGTACGGTATTGCCTAGGAAACCATCATAACTATTCAAGTCGGGAGGTTGTATTTCATACTCTGTTGTTGTTATATGTTTTGGAAAGAACTTGGTTTTGCGGCCTCTCGTTGCAATTCTTGTTGCTTTGTTATTTGGCAGTGATAAGGATACGGTGTCTTGCGATTTTCTTGCAGGTCTTCAAGTGGATACCCAGGAGACCACTCTGAAACAAAAAGAAAGAAAATTTGTGCGGGGTTACTTGAGGAAGACGTCCAAAACGCTGTTTCAGGGGGAAAAGTATAACAATGCGAGATGTCCATTGTTGCGCTCGAGCACCTTCTAGCGGTTTTATAGTGAATTACAGGCACTGGTCCCTTTCCCATAGTGGAGGAATTTACTAGATTAACATAACACTGTAGATTATATCTGCATGTGACTCTGAGCTCCAATTTGTCTACATATTTTCCAATTTGTATTATATTGCCGAAAGGCCAAAGTCCAGACTCAACCATGTTCTCCTTAGGGGTGAATTCTTCCATCATAGCAACTTCAAGTTCCCGAGAAAAATGAGGAATATGAAGCAAACTCCATCCGCCAGATTGACTTACATGGGATACATTAAAATGTAAATCAATGTGTTGTTCTTCTGATCATCTGGCGGCCGATTTTTATAAAGGTTCACCCCCACTAATTGACAAATGTGGAACCGTCCCAGACAAACACTTCCGGTAAGAGAAGAACGGGGAAAAGTGGACCAAAGTGGACCGGAGGAGCCGAGGCAGCCGGTCGCACGCGAGCTGCCCTCCAGCTATATACCGCAGCCGCACCGCTAGTGACTCACAGAGATAGACCGTCTCCATTCACTCATAGGTAAGTACGTTGTAGAAATTTGTTAGAGAAAATTTGCGGCTTTGCATCCTTCTTGCCCGGGGGTATAAAGAATTTAGAAGGCATGCATGTGCGTACAGCGCAACTCTCTTCAGAATCAGTCTATTCTAAAATCATCATTAATATACTGCAGTAGATTTGGTCGAATAGACTGGGTTATTTGGTTATTTTCACTCGAACTGCATAAGGCTAGCTAACTCCTCTACATGGCGAAATCTACCATTTTCCAGTAAACTTATAATTGGATCTTATTGGAGTCTGGTGAGACTCGTGCACGCAGCGGCACGAAGTTTCGTAAATCCAGAAGTAAGGGACGATGCATTTCATCAGTGTGGCCGCGCGAAAATGGTTGCCATCTTTCCTTTTCTTGTAAATCAATACTTTCGTATCAATAGATTATGTTTTTAAAAGGTAAAAGTAAAAACCATCTACACTTCATTATTTTTTATTCTTCGCATGGAGCTATAGAGAGTTCTTCGTCTACCTTGCGTAACAGAAGTATTTGTCCTGGAAATTAGCTGGCTTCCTAGAACCTCTACACCGACTTCTCCCAAATTCGTTTCCTCGCTAATTTAGCTGAGATTGCAGAGTTCCAGACTGGCGTGCGGATAGTTGGAATATCGGGGAGTCCTTTGATTCCTTTGTGTCTGGCGGGTTCATCCAGGTCTGTGTTTGTGTGTGTTTGTGTTGTATGCAAAGTTTAATTTGTGAAGCTATCGCACCCGGGTGCGAACACAATTTTATGTATAGAGATGTGCGTTTTCTCGATCTCTCAAGTTACGAAACTGGTTAGCATGCCATCACGCGATTGTATAACGCTGAGCCTTGGCTGAACAAAGTACATGGTCTGAATTTTGACTCTAGCTCTGAGAGCTCGCCGGCGGTTTCTGGTGTTCAGGAAATCATTGTTTGTTTGTGTAGATCTGCCGAAACGCGAGCCCCATTGACCGGAAAGAAGTGAAGAACCTCTACCATTTACTGAAGGTTGACTGACTTTTGGTGATACCCAAAAGCGTAGAGGCTGGCAGAGTAGCTTTCTCCAAAATTTTCGTCGAAAACGGATTTCTATCGTCCAAAATGGCGAAAAAATGGTGATCGTTTAGGCCAGGCCTTGGTTTTAGCATGGAGGTAAACTCCATGGTTTTAGCCCTAATTTGCGGACGATAAAAAAACGAACAATCCCCACGGCTTAGCAGTAGGGCGATAAACAAAGGATATTGTTGTCTCTGTGTACTCTGGCATTACGTCAATCAACTTGATACATGCCATATGCGAGACGCTCTGAAACTTCTAGAAAACGTTTTAAAAATCCGTGTAAGAGCAGAATTGGTACATATTTAGATGTGAAGATTCTAAAATATATATATTTTTTTTGCCAAAGCTTCATTGGAAAGATTGTTCTCTTCCAAGAATTATAGGAGGAAATGCTGGCGCATGTTTCTGTTTCAAATTAGCCACGGTTCCCGTGCGTTTTGTGGGCACAAGCTCATTTTGATACCGGATAAACTTGCCGGGTGCGGAAACCTAAACCATGTGCCTCCGGTCCCGAGCGACTTGGCCCTCAGTCACGGGCTTGGAGGTGTGAAATTATGATTGCAAAAAGTAGAAATACAAGAGGAATTTTATCTCCAAGCAGATCCTACGGTGACAAGGCAATATCCAGTCGGCCAAACGGTGACTGCTTGGCCTAAAATGGACTGTTGTCAAATTGCACATAGGATTAAAAGATACATTTGTATGCTGTTTGTTTTTGCGGATTTTGGATGTTTAATAAAACACTCATTGGGAAAACAAGGAGCTTATACAGAGCTTATAGTTCCTTGATCCTACTCCTAGGACATGCATAATTTATGCTTCGCTGAACTTTAAATTTTCCCTCCCTGTATCTGCTTGAAAACTGCAAACTAGCCGCGTTCTTATGACACCAGACTCGCATCTCGTGCAAGAAGTACCTGTGGGGAAACCAAGGAGTTTGGAACCGAACGACAAACATCTCAGAAATGTCGGCACGCCGCCTCGCGCGGTTTTCTGACAAATGGACGCTCCCCAGGGTACTTGTAGTTCCAAGTACATGGGAATGGAACATACCAATACAGATTGTGGGGAGGTTGTTACATGACACATAAAAAAGTGCAGGTTCATAGTACAACTACCTTGAATGAGCCAAATAGAAGTAGAATTCAAACATTTTAAAAAGAAGCCTCCTTAACATTACCAGGAAAACTAAAGAAGATATATCATATACATATCATATCAAACATTGAGTTAGCCAAATGAAAGTTTATGATAATGAACTCACCAAGAAAACCCTAGCACTAGCAGAGAAATAACAAAAAGATTGCAGCCAGTGCAAAATGTTTTGAAGCAAAAAGCAATTTTTTTCCAACTCTTTGCCAGAGAAACATTATGCATTCTTCTGCCTTTGTCTCTCCTTGGTGTTTGAAAGTTGGTCTCTCTGGGGTGCAGTCCTTATTTTCATTCCCTGGTATTTGAAGGTTATTATAAAACACAAAAGGCTCTGTAACCTTCCCCATGCTGAGGTAGCCTTGAGCAGGAAATATGTGTTTTGGTTACTGGGAGAGGGTTAAAACTCCATGATCTACAATCCAGTGGCACAGAAAAACAGGAAGTGGCTGTAACATGAGGAACAACTCTGGGTTTCCTCCAGGTTTCCCTGTAAATATTTTGATGTTTCAACCAAACAGTCAGTGCTCTGTCCTAGATGCTGATGAACTGAAGAGTGATGGATGTCACTCGAAACAACTGAAAGCATTCTCCTTATTTTATCCTACAGAACTTAGTAGAGTTTGAATATTGCTGATGAGTGTATTGTTCTGAATAAAACTGTGAGAAATTCAGAAAAGTTTTCCTTCATTGCAGCTAATCTCCAAGCAGATCCTAGGGTGGCAAAAGAGAGTATCCATTGGCCGGAGAGGGTCCAATACGCCACCCTGGCCAATGGATACTGTCATTTGCCACCCAAGGATCTACTTGGAGATTATATTGCAGCCTCCTCAGGCCCAAATGTCTAGACAGAACGCCAGAATTTTTCACCTTCCTGATATTAATCTTGCCCTTCCCTTGTACACATTGATACTAGTATCTAACAGGCAACAAAGTGTTGACAGCCAAGTCCTCTCCAGTATCTACTACATGTATCTGCGGTATGTACATGTATTTGTTCCCAACAATCTTAGCCTGGATGCCAGAATGTTTCCAGGGACTACACATTCCAGCTCCTCCAAGCTCCAGGGCCAACATGCTCTCAAGGAAATTTTACCATGCTTGCTAACTTGGTATCCAATGCAATTTCAGGGCGGCAAAATTAATACTAGTATTCTGGATGAGGAAATCTGTATGATATTGACATTTACAGCACATTTTTGCCATCATTTCAAACTTTTGAAATAGCCCCAAAACAAGCTACATGAGGAGTCCCTTTAATTTGATAGGTACCACCCATAAATACCTATGATACAAAAAAAGCAGCCGTTTTACATCAGCAACATTGCATTTTTGACTCGCAGATACATGTACATGTATCAATATGCTGTAACAAGCTGGGCCCCCTTGGAAAACAGCCACTGTAGGCTGAATGGGGTCACCCAGCCATCTTGACTTGAGATTAATAAACAAATGGATAGAGACATCATAGGGTTGATTGCAGTAAATTAACTTTGAAAATCCAGTTTTGACGTATATTTCTTCGTCCAGAAAGGGATTGGTATTGCCAAGTGGGTCTGACATCCAGGCTAGTACAATGTTTGGAATGGGGTTAGGTGTTTTGTGCTGTGTAAGGGATATGTGAGCACAAGGTCAGTGGTGGGAGATGTGGTGCTGACTCTGGCTCTAACCCCACCAGGTAAAATAAACAACGTCAGGCCTGAGGATTTGCAGCCTTCTGTCTTATGTATACAAGGGACTGTCCATTGATGGTGGTGACAGTCAGCATGTATACTGGGGACTGTCCATTAATACAGTTTGTTGGGTGCACGAAAATAATGTCACTAGGTTGGAATTGGTAGAACATACATGTAGCATATCAGGATTTTCTTCCACACAACCTGGGATTCTTCCCACCTTGCTTACATTTCAATGTCTGTCAGACACCTTCCTCAGGACTTCTGAGGTTTGGGAATATGTTCTCACCCGCAAAAGTACCACCTATGGCAGCTACATAAAGATATGGTGACGAGAAGCAGAATTTGAGTATGCCATGAATAGACTAAAAAGGCTCTGCCTCAAACAAAGACTTACTGTATCTCCAAGTACAGTAGATGAATCAGTCTTTTTTTTCCTCACTCTTTTGCGACCTTTTTGATAAAAGGAAGAAGCCACAGGTCCTTAGACCACAATGGAGCAACTGATGATAAAATAACTAATGAAATCCTATCTGATCCTCAGCAGCAGTTCAGTGGTGTAAGTTACTTCATAACTCAAACCAGACACAAAGATTTGTGGTACTAATTTGGTTATACTGGTCAGGACAAATTAGGCATCTGTTTCTGGACTTGGTTTTTTATCTCTTTGACCTTCATTGGCAGACATCTATTAAAGGTGTTCCAAATATAAAAGTAAAATACGACACGAGAAACGATATGGAACAGCTTTTGATAACTGGAGACCACCTCCATGTGTATAGCTCCCGTCTTCGCTATATGTGACATCTGTAAGAAATAAATTTTCTTATAGAATCGAATTTGGTGTCAGTACTGAACCATCTGTGTCAAGTTAGGCACCACAATAATTGATTCACACTACAATAGTCTACTAGACTAATTACAATGTATGCTGGCTAAAAGATAGTAAAATTTGACCAACCAGGGAGATGCTATGGATGATTAGTCACCATAACTTTTACTTTTTTTAGTAACATTGGAAGGGAGAAATGCAACCCCTTATCCCTGGCTAACTCTCTTGGCCAATTCTTCATTTTTTTCTCAAATTCTACCAACTCAACCCTAAAGCCTAGTTTGTGTAATGCAAACTCTGCTGTCTGAGGCTTTAGTGGCCCCTCCCCGCAGAGCGGCTGGATGTTGGGTGGGCAGCGAAACCGTAAAGCGATTTTTAATCAGGCTACCTAAAGCCTGTTGGAGGCTATTTGGTTCAGGAACAAGAAGGAATCTCTCCACTTGACGTCTGTCAGAGAGTTTGCCCAGAGGGAAAAGAGATATTGGGGTCAGTGTCTAAACACTGGATTATGGGGCCACAAGTTTTACTGGAAGGTTTCCCATAAACAGTGGGTCAGGGATTGGGGCATCACTAAAATTCTTCCTGGTCATGCATTTATCACTGTAAACCTAGAGGAAAAAGACATAGGGGTGAGGGGTTGTCATGCATGTATCATGATAAACCTAGAGGTAAGGGCATGGGGTGAGATGTTGCCATGCATGTGTCACTGTAAACCTAGAGGATAAAGATATAATGTGAGGGGTTGTCATGCATATATCACCGTAAACCTAGACTAGAGGGTAAGGGTACAATGGTGAGGGTACATGAAGTAATGATGAATGTATCTGCCTTAAGTTTGTACAATTTTCAGGAGAACGTTCATGTACATGTCATGTAACATTGAATATTGTAAGAGTGGGTGGTAGAGTTCTGGATTCAAGAATCATACATGTTACTGATACTGTTAGCACAGACCCAGCTAGGCTCTAGAAGAAAGCATATTGGATCAACCTTCTATCCCCCACCCCCATTAAAGCTGACTGGGCATGTATCAAATTGAAGCTAATGAAGTTGTAGCTAGGTTACCATTCCCATTTTCTCCCTGGGAAAGAGTTACTGATTAGGGATACCACTGACTGAGAAGATAGGGATGGATTCCAGGCTAACTGACTGGGTCCTGCCAGATTTCACAGTGATCTGATCGGGATGTTGTGTGAAGTTCTGTTTAGACTGCAGTTTATTTAGTAACAGCTGGACCAGAAAATGAGTGGTCGTTCTTTATACTGTAAAAGAAACACATGTTTGGAAGCAAAGATAATAGACCCTAGCCTTGGTGCCATTCTCCATAGTTTCTGCGGACTCCCTAATTAAGTGGTAGCCAATGACAGTAGGGAGCCATGATAACTACGGAGTCCGAGGATGGCACCCAGGCTAGTTACACAATCCCAGGCAACTTTCCTGTTGCTTGGCCTAAGGATTTCCTCAGTCGCAGGCCACCACATTTCTGTCACAAATAGAATTCTGGGCTGATCTTTGGGGTACCACCCAGAAAGTAAAAGACTTGTGATGCAAATGTACTAATGTGGGACAGTATGTGTCAATATCAAACAGCTTGCCTTATTCAGAATATTTCCAGTTTTGCCCCTCTGAAATTGCACTGGATGGCAGTGGATGCCTTTAAAATTTCCTTTCCATTTCTGCCACAGGTTGTCCTTAGTCCAAGGCCACCATGGCACTCCCACCTGGTTATGCCGACATCATAAAATGTGCTAGTGCGGGGCAGTATGTGTCAATATTTTACAGATTGCCTTTTATAAAATTTCCTGTCTATTTCTGCCACAGGTTGACCCAAGCCCCAGGCCACCATGGCGCTCCCACCAGGCTACGCCGACAGCGTACACGAGTATCCGAACCACGCCGATCAGCTCCTTCAGCACCTCCACGACCTGCGGAAGGACAGTCGCCTACACGACGTCATCCTCAAGCTCGCAGACGGCGAGTGGCGAGCGCACAAGTGCGTCCTGTCCGCCTTTTCCGGGTTCTTCCGCTCCCTGTTTGTCACTTCAGGAAGCCGTGAGAGGGAGGTGAAGCTTAAGACTGTGACGTGTAAAGGGATTGGCCCCCTACTGGAGTACATGTACACGGGAAAGCTGGAGCTGGTAGAAGAAAACGTTATGGAGGTGTTCTGTACAGCCGGCTATCTGCAGGTCTTCAATGTCCTCAGCGACATCTCAAAGTTTCTCAGCAACACCACGCTTTCTACACAACAGGGAAGACAAGGTAGTGACCTGACGTGCAGCTTAGCATGTGACAGCATGGAGCAGGAGGAAATGTACAACCAGCAAAGTGTGTGCGATCCGGCAAGCTTACAACAAGAACTGCGCTCGCAGTCTCCCGATTCAGGCACACAGTCAGGGGAAGAGTTTAGAGTGGATGAGGAAATGGTGACATCGCTCTCAGGAAACAATTTTGACATTCTGGCTGCTCAGATGAGTCAAATGACAGCCGATGCCTTTGCTCAGGTATTGTCGTTGGACCTTGCGTTTAACACTAACGGGGAAAACTCAACGCTGGTCAATCCAGAAGTTATCACGGACGCCAACGGTTTGCCCTCTATGGTTGTTCTAGACCAGGGGAAGGTTGAACAGGTCCATGTAGAGCAGTCTGGTCTAGCAATGCAAGTAAATGACATTTCTGTGGAAGGAGAAGCTAGTATGGAAGAGACACAAGGCAGTGCTAGTGATACTCACCAGCAGTTGGATGTCCTAAGCACACAGGACAGCCCTCAACCTTCAGTAGAGGGGACTTCCCATGCTTCTGTGGTGGATTGTCCTGTTCAGCAGAAAGACATCATGCTGCAAGAAGCAGCAGAAAAGGTCAGCTCTTCAGTACACCCGTCGGACATTACAACAGCTGATGAGGTAGAGCTTCGTGCGAGGACCCCTATCTCAGATGTTGGTACTGCAGGAGATGTAGACTCCTTTTCCTCAGAAGGAAAGGAAGAAGGTGGAACTGCAGCTGGGAATGAAATGCCTGCGAATTTGGATGAGGAAGAGGCTTCTTCTCCCCAGTCTGTACCAAAGGAAGGAGAAGTTGAAAACCAGGCAAAGTTCCAGAATGTTACAGAACAGTCCGCAGATGTAGATAAGGATGGTTCACCAATGCCAATGCAGGCTGGGGATGTACAGAGTGAACCCAAAACACTTGAAACTGACGACAAGAATGAGACTACAGTAGCACCACAAACCGATAAGAATGAGACTACAGTAGCACCACAAACTGATGGGACGAAGAATGTGAGGCAAAAGAGAAAAGCTGTCAGAAAAAGCAATAATGCAACAGGAAAGAGAACTCGTAAAACAACGAGCGAGTCTCACGTGTGCTCTGTATGTGATGAAGTCTTCCAAAGTAGCAAAAAACTGCAGACGCATGTGGCAAAGGATCATGGCACACAAACCCAGCAAGACAGTGACAGGTCAGAAGCAGTGCAGACTGGAGAAGGGTCCAGTAAACCGGGAATAAAGCAGTGGACTGTTCAGGACGGTTCTGTGGTTGCTGGTACAAACGAACTGACAGTGCTGCCAGAGAACATCCAGGCAAAGGAAGGGGAGCCGACACAAAAGGGTCCAGCAAAGAACAACAATGTAGCAGCAGGGAAGCGACGAAGGAAACTTATGAACGACCCTTACAAGTGCAACATCTGCGGCGAAGAGTTACAGAGCTGCGGGAAACTGCGAACACACCTGGCCAACCACGAGGGGGGAAAGAAGCACGAATGTCCGGTCTGTTCCGCAAAGTTTGGCTACTCGAACCATCTCGCAGACCACATGCGTATCCACACCGGCGAGAGGCCGTACAAGTGTACGCACTGTGACGCGAACTTCAAGCAGAAGTCGACGCTGATACGCCACACAAGGAGACACACAGGTCAGATGCCGTACCGCTGCGCAGTCTGCAATCTTGGTTTCCACGACACGACGCACCTCAAACTTCACCAGAAGACTCACACCAAAGTTCGTAAGGAAACGGTAGATGAGTTCACAGTTACAGTGCTCGCAGAAGGCTCGACGATCGATGCAAGTTGCTTATTGACGGAAGGATCTATTGATGCAAGTTGCTTCGAATTGACTGATGTTCTAAGTTGCTAACACACTCGCAATAACAAGAAGAACATGCATGGGAGAAATCTTGTCAAGAAAATATCATGTATGGGTTAATGACACAGTCCATATACAAGTAAGCGATTTTGTTCCATTAAATCATGAGATACTGACGGACCAAATCATACACATGAACATGTAAATATAACATGGTCAATTGTTCCAGTTTCAAGGCTTTAAAGTTGCAGAGATGCATAACTCTATGCAGTGTACAAAATACTTTTTTGAACCAGGTTGCTCAGTGGGCAACCTACAGCAAAAATTAGGTTGCCCATAAGAATTTTAGGTTGCCCCACCTACAAGTTAGTACTTTCCTCAAATTAAGTAATGTTACATAACCTTGACAATTTTTCTAACAGCCTTTAGTAACTTAACTGTTACTAGTAATAGCCATTAATACCTAAAATTAAAAAGCATCTGCCGGATACAGTGGTGCAAGCCTAGTGGGCATGATTTCGTGGGGGGGGGGGATTCTTAAGTAGCACACTGGGCTACCTGGGTTCAAAAGTCGGTTGCCCCAAGTAAGTAAAATTTAGTTGGCTGGGGCAACTGGGCAACCAGGTATTTTGCACGCTGTCTATGCCACATTCAAATTGTAAATATGACTTTTGACCACATGTTTTGATTGGCACTACTGAGTTGAAGCTAATCAACTCTATCCACCCCTTATTGACAGACTGACAAGTAAGTTATTTGTTCAAGTCCAAGCCGGTGATGCCCTTGTTTGACCTCTCTGTTTTGACTCCAAAGGCCCTAAATGTTTATACTATAAACTCGGTAATGACAGGAAATGTGAAAAACAAGTTTACCATACCAGTAAGGACCTGCGTTTGCCAACTCTGTACCCGTCAAAAGTTTTAACGGTCAGCTGGTAGCTTGCTGGAATGGGCATGCTCAACAAAGGCCCCATAGGTGTGTGAAGTTTTGCTTCATTGGACTGGGATTTTTCAAAGGATGCACTTTTCTTCAAGAAATTCTTCAAGTTGCTTCAGTACCTAAGAATTCTCTTTATTACACTAGTATGCAATCCCATGGTTTAGACACAAAAAATTCGAAGATTCGAGAAATATAGATGATTTGGAAACTTTGGACCCAGGCTAATTTCTTTGTAAGCTCACAGCCTTGAAGTTGTATTCAGGGAATGTTAGGGCTTAACCACAAAGTTGACACTAGCTAATATATCAGAAGGACATAGCTGAATCCCAGCCCAGTATGTGCCAACTGTGGAAACCTTATCAGCAAAACTATTCCTACACGAAATGTGTCATTCGGTAACTAGGTGAGGGGTTAGGGGGGGGCTTGACTGTGGGGTTTGACCCCCCGAATGTCGCTTTGACAGGTGTTTATCCCGCTTTGATGGATGGTTTTGGCACCTACCAACCGTGTTTAGGTTGTTAGGTGTTGTATGTGCATTGTCTCCCCTCCCCAAAGGTTACCCGTCACGGATTACATTGACCGATGCAGAAACAACTGACAAGCTATGCATCCCAGCTGTGCCTTTAAGATTATTCGGAAAGTAGCAAGACAACTTGCGGTCAACTTGAAGATTTTTTGTGCATAGCTACAGAGACCTTGTGTCAATCACGTAAAACATCTGTTTTTCTTTCTGTCTTAATCAACAATTTGGGGATGAATATGGCCTTGCCTGGCTCGAAGGGTTTAGGTAAATTGTGTATCGACCACTACCTCATGGGTCCCTCATATGGTCGTAGCATAGCAGGTCTGGAAAAGTCTATTGTATATAGTTCCTATTATCGTGTACATAGCCGAATGCCTCAACTTTGTTGAGACGATGCGAAGTACTTGATTGTAGTGTAGACAAATGTGTATGGAACGGGAAGATGATAGACTAGAGGCCAAGTTTATATATAAACCGTATCTGTGGCATCAGAATCAATCGCAATGTAGAATTCTGTAAAAAAAAATACCAGTAATAAAGAAAGTAGAATGACAAACGTTTCTACCGTTTTATCTCTTGGTTTTATCGATTCGTTGTAAGCCTTATCCAAGCCAAGTCGTGTGCGCCGCTAACACTAGTAACAGGCAAACAGTTATCTACACGTCAATCTGGCATTTCCTGAAAGTTTCCTGGTAAGCGACTTGCCTTTTTCGTGGGACACAGGCCCCTATTGTGGCCTGTTGCGGAACATCTCTCACCAAACACAGAATAGAAAGGCACTTTAAACTCTGCAGTCACCCTAGGCTGTTTGTGGCAGCCCTGAATTATCTTGTAAATCTTCCCGAGCCCTTGTACCCCGCTCGCAGGAAAACATTTATCTACCGAGCCCATCTGTAGCCTGGTTACCAAACCTATTATAGCTCCCGAGTCCTACATCCTCTCCGCAAATAGCCTGGTTACCAAACCTATTATAGCTCCCGAG